TTCAGCAGCAAGTGCAAGATAAAGCTTTTTTACCTGTTTTTCCTGGAGTTCAAAATTAAAATTTCATGTAAGAATTAATTGAGTAAAATAATGTTTTTTTTTATAGTCATAAAGAAGATTGAATGAAGTTTAGGGTGAAACTGAGCCAAGCCAACTTGTGAGTTCGCTTGAGCTCGGCTCGATCATTGGCCCATGAATTGAGCGAGTTAACGAGCCAAGTTAGCGAGAACATTTAAGACAAGATTAATATGAACATACATAAAATTTATTAAAATTAAAGAGTTGAACTATAATGTATTAAAAATACTTAAAACATATATTTAATTTTTAAAATCAAGGGATTTTTTATTATTTCACCCCCAATTATTTAATTTTTATTCCATTTTATTACAAAATTTGATTGAATCAAATATATTCTCTATATTTTAACAAGTGATGAAGCCAACTCATGAGTCGACTCAAACTCGTAGAATTAAGCTTAAGCTTAAGCTAGAACTCCATTAATTAATCAAGCTCAAACTCAAGTCATAGGTGGCTCAATCTCAACTAGGCTTGTTTACACCCCTACTTTCCAACGTACACAAAATCGCACAATGCACAACCATGATGAACAATCGAATAAAATGTAAAATCAATAATAATGAGCATACCCTAATCATCCCATGGAAAACAGAACAGAATTCCTTTGTTTTCGCCAGTACGAGGCTGCAAGAAGAACAACATAACTGATTTTTTTTTAATATATGAGTTCAAGATAATTATATAAGATGAACCAACCAGCCTTCTGTGCAGTTATCTAGCTGATGAGTAGTCTTCAAAGGAGTATCTAATTCTAGAACACGAGAAGCAAAAGTTGCACAAGTTTCTTCTATGTTATCAGATGATCCTCCTACCTGCAAATTTCCAGAACCGAACCAAAAAATGATAAGAATGAACAAGTAAATAGTGATATAAATATGTACATTAATTGCAAATCAGGAAGGTAGGGAGTATAGCAAAGTACAATTATCAGAGTTACATACTGAAGTCGCAGCTGGTTTGTCAAGAACCACATAGGAATCTGTTACAGCTATGATTCTAGACTTCCAATCAACCTCATAGCACCTGATTACAACACAAGAACAAAAGAGAAGCATAAAAATTTATATTGATTCCACAACAGAAACTCCT